AAATGCCGCAAGAAAGACGCAGTTCCATAGGCTGGGTCCAGGTGGCTATGCGATGGCATTGCCTAAGTGGGATAAGTCTGAGCAAGAGATGGAGGATGCAGGGGTCACTCCGGTTACCCGGCACTGGCCCCCCAGGTGCAGAACTTGGTTCTATGCGCATGGGGGAGCGTTGGACCCGAAGACAGGCGGAGTTTCACGGAAGGCAAGTCTAAAAGGAGCCGAACAAAAGATAATTGACGCAATAGATGAAGCTCGAAGGGGGGTGTTCACGCCCAACAGAGAGAACGACGAGCTTACGCGCGCCCTGGGAAATCCTGAACACCCGAGAAGAACACGAGGCATGGGCGTTATTCCCTGGTATGATGGCTTTTCAAAATGGAACGAGGACTACAGGAGCCGCGCAAGAAGGAAGATGGAGGAGGAGAAGAAAAGGAAGCTGGAGGAGGAGCAGAGGAAGCAGGACGCAGAACGCCTTCAAGGCCTAGAAGCAAGGCACGCAGACCTGGCACTCAAATTCCAGCAGCAGCAACAGCAGATCGACTCACTTAGCCAGGAAAGGGGGTCTCAGCAGCGGCAGCAGTAAGCGGATGATCGTCCAGCATTGGATAGCACCATTCCATCCATGCCGAGAAGCAGCGTTGGTTCTGCCCCGGGCGACACACTGCTGGATAAATACCATGTGGATGACATCATAGAGAACACTAACTGCGAGCTACACTTCAAAATGAAGAACATATCCATGAAGGTGGCAGACGGTGTTGCTTTTCTAGTTAACCCCGAAGCAACCTACCATTGCATCCCGATTCCAGAGGGCTATGCTCGTGTCATGGTTAATGAAGTGGTGGACCCATATTCGGGGCTAACGCTTGACATTCCTGGAGGTGAAGACGAGCGCACACTCGGAGAGGCCATACATCGTATCATCCTATGGAGAAAGGATTGCATAATCTTTCGAAGTCCACCGACACCGCGTCGTCTGCCGACTCCTCGAAGTCCGCCACCGAGTCAGCAGACTCTCGCTCCTCCAAGTCCACGAATGCGTGAGACGAATCCTCCTCGAAGTCCGCCACCTCCTCCAAGTCCCCGAACGCGTGAGCTGACTCCTCCGGTTTCAAGCCCGGCACAGCGTCATGCCACTTCTCCGGTTGCAAGTCCGGCACCGTGTCAGGCCACACCTCCCGCTTCAAGTCCGGCACATCGTCATGCCACTTCTCCTGGTCCAACTCCACGTCAGCCATCTCCACCGTCTCAGCAATCGCAGAAGAGACATCCCGCAGCTTTGGTGCGTAGCGGTACGAGTCGAGGTAGTTCAGGAAGTACATGCGAAGGCAAGCGATATAAATATGGTCCAAGCCTCGCTCCTCTTCCTCAAAGGCCTTACGACATGACTACGGAGCAAAACACAGCCATAGTGCAAGCCCAAGTGGACGCCCATTTTGGACCGAAACCGGCACCGCCGCCAAAGGAGAAAGTGCCTGAGAAAGTAATTGACCACTTCATTCGTATGGCTAGAGAACCAGCTCCCAAGCCTGTTGACTCGGACTATGAGCGCCAAATCAGGAAGACACATCGAGCACGACTACAGAAGGAAGCGAGCTCAAGCTCGAGCCAACAAGCAGCTGGCAAAAAATGCGGGAAAACCGTTCCCCAGTTGGGAGAACAGGCGGCGCAAGTGATCCCCCCGCTTGTTGTGCCAACAACACATGAGAGGAGTAGTACGCACGCCAAATATTATTGTGGGCAAACCGTTAGCGTTCCCCAGCATGGCGATGTGGTAATAACAGAGGATCATATAATGCAGGCTCAAATGCTCAATATCTCTGTTGGACAACTCCTCAAATCGAGCCCATGCCTACGCTTAAAGAATCGGAAATAGCATGGCAATATGTCCGGGGCAAACCTTTGGTCCATCCAGACAAGGTCAAGGACCTCCCAACGAGAATGTATCAATTGCATCAATGGTACATGAACATTACCAAGATTTCCAATCGAGAGTCCCTCATGGTGAATGTCAAGCATGAGCATTATTACCATGAGAAAGCTCTGGCCATTGAGTATCCAGAACTATTTCAGTTATTTAATCAAGACGCACTCGACAAGTGTATCGTCAGTTGCTATTGTCTGTAAGTGATTTCTTTCTGTAATTTAAGTCTCAAGCTAGTTATGTAGTGATAATTTTGATCAATCATTACATGTAATTATCCTCACTATATTCTTTTTCTGTGGTATTATATGCAGGATGAAGATGTATGAAATGAAAAAGCTGGATACTATGGCGTTGGGTTCATTGGCCCAAATACCATTAATCAGGACATATAGGAGATTGAACATTGTCAAGCTGCTGTAGAGGAAAGCATGCTAGAGTTCTTGAAGCGCCTCAATACCTTCAAAGATATAGTACTTTCTTACAACTTCCCGTGAGTCACACTGTCTTGTACTACAAATTCTGTTTTTGCTTACTAGCTAGCTAGATATTAATAATTAAGTGTATACGGTTTACGGTAGTTGATTAATTTTATGCACATGCCCGCTTAATTAAGACATGCACACGTGTGCGTATGCAGTTGGCACTGGGTCTTAATAGACATTAAAGTTGAGGAAGGAAAAGTTGAATTACTGGACTCACTAACTAAAGAAGATAAAAACTACACCATCGTGAAGGGGATAGTCAACAGGTAATTTCAATCATTATTAACTATTAGTTCCTGATATGAACTATTTAATAACCCCTTTATTAATTTTCTTTGCCGGCGGGCAGGGCATGGGCAAAGTTCATCGCGGTGGCTCCAGGAGAATGGAAAAAAAAATTGTTTTGGCATCGACCCAAGGTATTAAGTAATTAAGTAGTACTAGCTAGCTACCATCTCTTTAATTCTTATTTCAATATCATTAATTTGTTATTATGCTTGATTAATCATTATCAGATTCAATTCCATTCTCGTAAAGGCCCCGAGGCAGGCGAAAGGGAATAATCTGTGTGCATACTACGTTTGCGAGAACATTCGCATGATGACGTGCGAAAGAAGCAGATCTGATAGACATGACTGGGTACGTTTTTGTCAGAACACTATTCACACCATTATCGATATCTAGTCACACAACTAACACACATGCATATTGATCTCCTTCTTAACAGTTCAGATCGGTGCGGGATAAGCTCCTACCATCGGACCGCATACAAGCACTTCAAGAGGAAATAGCCGGATTTTTGCTCGACCAGGTCATAGATCCGAAAGGAGAATACTATTAGCCGCTACCGCTCCCATGAACCACTTGTCATCGTGCTCCGAAGGCACCAAGGCAACATGTAGTAGAAATTGTATATGTATATACATGTGTATATGTGTGAATAGTTAATGGTGTTGGCTGTGAGACATTCGATGATATTATATATATATATATATATATATATATATATATATATATATATATATATATGCGGTTCTACGTACGAGAAAATCTATTTAATATATATGCATAACGTGTACAATTTATAGTATCGTGAAATACCAGCAAACAAAAACGAATTAAATAGAAAATAAAGTCAAATTGAAAACACAAAATTAAAGCAAAATTTTAAAAAAACACCCAAACATTTAGTACCGGTTGGTGTTACCAACCGGTACTAATATCCTACACGCACACGGGTCTGGCTCGTGCCACGTGTTTGCACTTTAGCGCCGGTTCGTGACGAACCGGTACTAGGGGGGGGGGCTTTAGTCCCCATTCTTTACTGCCGGTTCGCCAACCGGCACTAAAGGCCGTCACGAACTGGCACTAAAGCCCGGTTCTGCACTAGCGATCGCTATCTTTTTAGTGGATGGTAGCATAAGTTAAGGCCATCTATCTAAATATTCCTACCCTTAACCTTGACCTAGCACTCACTGTTGATGCCTCCCGCTCAAGTCCAACCATGCATCCATCAAGGGCATTGTCTCCAACTCAACATGCCTTTGTAGGCCATAGTACCTCTTATTGGCATGAGACCTTGCATGCCAATATGGAAGGAAGGGGAAATGATATCGTCACCTCCATGCCGACACCCTCTCTAGCTTGATGCCGCTGGATGAAAGAAGGACAAGTGATAGTTCTTGTTGCAAATAAAAGGATTGCTACTGAATTGGAAAGGTTGAAACCTTTTGTACCTTTTGTAAACTGCCGTGTGTAGATGGTAAATATTAAGCGAGTCAAAACTTGGATTTTAATTTAGTGTTTTGCTTATCTTGAGTTGCTTGAAAATTCTTTGGCGTTTCAGTCAATTTGGAGGTGACCCTGAGGAGCACCGTGAGAACACCGGACGTCCCTTTTGTTTTGAAAAAACAACGGGCTATCCGTTTCGTATCTAAATCGGTCGGTTCAGCGTGGGCCGCCCATGTCAGCTGCTAGGTGGGGGACGCCTTGACCCGTTGCGAGTTAAGAGCCTCCTCTTGTTCCTCTGTTGGTCTCTCCCCTCCCTCCCTGCAGCCGCCGCCCGCCCGCGCGAGAAAGGTCAGGCCCGATTAGCCTGCGACGGCGCTGTGCTGCTGCGTCGAGGCGACGGGTCAAGTCTCGCCGTCGAACCCCGTCCCCCGTGCCCGCGACCGCACCCTTGCCGCCGCCCCTTCTTCCTCTGCTCCGGCCTCCGGCGTTCCCCTTCCCCCTCGGCGCCAAGGAAGAGAGGGTTCACAGTCGCCCGCTCGCTCCTCGCCTGTACCCATCGCGCGTGCAGCCGGTGAGGGGCTCGTGGGCGGGCGCGACGTGGGAGGAGAACTTGGGATCCGCCAGCATCCAGCAACGGAGGAGGACGGGAGAAATCCTCTTGCCCTCCCAGTTCGGTTGTTCCCCGCGATTGCCGGCTACCGGCGCCTTCAGCTGTCCGCGAGTTGAGGTGAGCTGTCTGTGATGATACTCCAATGTTGATCTAGTAGATGATTTCCCCCGATTCGGTGATGCTGCATTCGACCGCGCCTAGTTTGCTAATTCCACTCCGCTCACGCAGTGCCCGCCACCTGTTCGACGGAATGCTCGAGATGGCTACTGCGAGTGACAGTGACCCTTTTGGAGACCTCCCCGACGAGCTCCTATCGCGCGTGCTCTCCTTCCTTCCGGCAGAGAATGCCGTGCAGACCTGTGTGCTCGACACCCGGTGGCGCGACCTCTGGAGGCGCTTGACCAGCTTGCTGTTCGTCTTTGATGGGCCAACGTTTCCGCGATACAACCGTTTCAAACAGTTGGTGAAGCTGGTCATCTGTCTCCGCGGGAACTCGCCTCTCATCAGGTGCGAGATCGATGCCTATCCTGACGATGAGCCGGAGAACACGTTCACAAACACCAGGTTGTTGATTGACTACGCTCTGGCATGCGAAGCTGAGGAACTCGTAGTAAGAGCAGCTGACATTCAGTACGACCTACCGGTGTTCGATGTGCCCCTTAGTCTCATCTCCCAACACTTGAAGACCCTGCACCTTGAAGGGGTCAACCTCGATCACTCTGCTTTGAACTTCTCAGGCTGCCCGGTGTTAGAGGACCTAAGGATTCAACTTTGCAACATTCGTGCATATGAGATATCATCCATGTCACTAAAGCGCCTGTGCATCACCGAGTACTGTTTGTTACCGGACAATGTCCGTCTTCTGATTTGTGCCCCGAGTCTTATCTCGTTGCATCTAGAGGATTTCGAAGGCTTGACACCTTTCCTTGAAAACATGCCATTGCTAGAAACAGCCCATGTTAGCCTTAAAGATGGATGCCATGATTTCTGTCACAAGAACAAGCGTAATTGTGATGATCCTTGCTGTGGTTGTCATGCCTATCCTATCAACAAGGCGGTGCTTCTCAATGGTTTGTCCAATGCTGTCAAGTTGGACTTGATTGCTTCACCTAAAATGGTATGCTTGCACTACTCTTGTTATTTGTCACCTGAAAGTTTCTCTTGTAGTATATCTATCCGTTGTTAGAACTGCAGATAAGCAAGTTCTTTACTTTCATTGTGACATTTTGGTACTTTATCTTCATCTAATGCATCCCGAATCGATGGCTAACAACACCGTCTGGATAAAATATGATATTTTAGGTTCTTATAGTATAAATTATTTAATCTTCTAGAGTCTCAGGTTCTTTTTTGTTCTTTGCAACTTGTTCAGTTTCTCTACAGATGGGATTTGAAATGGTGTCCCATTTTTGGCAAATTGAAGACTCTGTTACTCAATGAGTGGTTTACGGCTGTTGGCCTAGTTTGCATTCTCCGACATTCTCCAGTCCTTGAGATACTCACTCTTAAGCTTGACAATACCGAGGTATATGCTGTATATAACGATGTTGTTGTATTATTTAAGGTGTTATTGTGGATGTTGTATTTGTCTTACTAAGTGCTCTTATCTGATAGGACATTGTAGGAGCAACAGGAGCCCAGGAAACAAAAACACAATCATTTGTTTGTGCATGCATTAAGTCCGTTTACGTTGAATGTGAAGAGGTTGATGAGGGAGTTCTTGCAGTCTTGAATATCTTAAGTACATGCGGCATACTTCGTGATCAAATTAGCATCAAGGAGGATCCACGTACGGACTCAGATTGTAAGTTAGCTTTGTCCATATCTACTATTCATTGCCAATTAGAATGTATGACAACCCTTCCTACTTGTTCTAACATGTCTGCTATAATTACATATCAATTAGAGTATCTCCACAGCAGACCAAAAAACAGTCTTAGCCTCTTAGGTGTGGAGAGAGAAGGTTTTTGGTCTCTAGAAAAATTTCGGCTTTTGCAGTAGACCAAAAACTGGAGACCAAAAATTTCAACTTTACTTCTGCCACACATATTTGTGCATATGCAATGTTGTAAATAATATCAAACTCATTTCAAATTAACCCGAAACAAATAAAGCACAAATAGTACTACGTCCGTCCCAAATTATAAGACATTTTGTTAGGCTATTTTAGCCTACCAAAACATCTTATAATTTGGAACAGAGGAAGTACTTCTTTATTACATGGTTCATCAGTCCACAACCCCAAATTCAACACACTTATTCATCAAACATAACACAAAGTGCATCAAACATAACACAAAACATAGAAGTAGAAGTGTAGAACTAGTGGTCTTGTTGCCCATTCCATGTTCACCACTCCTCGATGAGATCTTGTTAAAGACGTTGATGGGTATCCGCATCTCGAATTTCTTGATGAACTTGAAGAAACTGTCGGATGCGGTTTTCCCTTCTAAGCGGATGCACTACCCTTCCTGTTAAGTCATAGGAGTAATCCAAATCTTGGCCACACTCATGCTCAATGATCATGCGGTGCAAGATCATGGCGGCAGTCATGATGTACTAAAGGATTTCTTGCTCCAAAAACCGAGCCGGTCCCTGCAAATTAGCAAACTGGGCTTGCATAATCCCAAATGTCCTCTTTACATCCTTCCTAGCATCTGCTTGAGCACTATGGAAACCAAGTTGTTTCTTACCTTGGTGGCTGGGAAATGGCATCACAAAGGTTGCCCACTTTAGGTATATCCCACCTGCTAGGTAGTACCCCTTGTATGTGTGGTCATTTGCTTGAAACTCCACCGGTGGTGATTCCTCATTGGATAACCATGCAAATAGTGTTGATCAGTGGAGCACATTGATGTCATTGCAAGCTCTAGGCATCCAAAACCATGCCTCCTGATCTACAATGGCTTCAAGAATGATGGTGGTATCCTTCGCATGGCATTTGAGCTGCAGGGCAGTTCTTCCACCTCCAGTGCGTGCAACCAACTGAGCTGAGCATACCTGGAACCCCCCATCCCCCATGCTTTGTTCATCTCCAAAAGCCGAGTGTCCAGAGCATTGGGTGCTCTCAATACTGTGGCCTAAACACTTGAACCACCGCCTTAGCAAATCGCTTCACACACTTGATGGAAGTGCTCTCTCCCATTGCCAGGTGATCATCAATCTAATATGCAGGAATGCCATATGCCATCATGCGCAATGCCAAAGTCATCTTCTGGGTAGTATTGTGTCTAAGATCTCAGGCACAATTCCTCCTCTGCACGAAGAATCGATCATGCCCTTTGACGGAGTCGGCAACATGGAGGAACAAGTTCGGAGCCATTCTTAATCGGCGTTGAAAGTGTTGTGTCCAAGATCTCTGGCACAATTCCCCCTTTGCATGAAGAATTGGTCATGCTCTTTGACAGAGTTGCAATGTGGAGGAAAAAGTTAGGAGCCATTTTGGATCGATGTCGAAAGTATCGCTCTGGATGCACCGGATTTGCACTCTTGACAATGGAACCGCCATGCTTTGGCCTCTTGTTCTTCTCCATGCCGATCAACGTGGTCATGGCAATGTCATCATCTTCATCCCACTCATTCCTCTTCGAAGCAGGAATCATCATACGGGGAGGATTCACGCTCACAACGTATGACAAGAAAAGGCAAGAAAAAATAACTTAGAGAACTTCCATCGAACACTTTGTGGGCACCGAGCTCAAGTTCGGCTAAGAACTTCCACCGAACACTTTGTGGGCACCGAGCTCAAGTTCGGCCGATGTAGCTCGTTGGGCGGCCTAGTAAAGGCGTCAGGATGGACCCAGGGGTCGTAGGGGAGCCGGGGATGCAGCCAACTTCGGCGGCGGCGTGTCGCCTTGTATCGAGAGCTCGATATGGAGTGGCGGCTCGACGCTGGTCACCCGGCCGATAATCGACCTCGCAGGCGACGTCGAGCATATCATCCATCGGCGGGGCAGGAAAACGGTCGAAATCGACGACTTCGGGCGGCGGTATGTCGAGCTTCTGCGGCGGCCGCGGGGGTCATGGTGGTTGTCTCCAACAGCAAGAACGGGTGTCAGTGCTCGGCGTGGCCGATAGAGTGGCGGCGGCGGCGAGATTCGGCGGCAACGAGATGGGGAGGGGCAGCGGTGATGAAATTTCAGGTTGGGGTTCCTGTCAGAGTGTTTTGCGTTTTTTGGTCTGTCACTAGTGGATTGGTATATTTACCAATTCGATAGCAATTTTTAGGCTATAGCCTAAAATTTTTTTTGGTCGCCATGCAGGTTTTGGTCTGCTGTTCGAGCCCTTTTTGGCCTCAAAGACCATAACTTTCTGTTTTTTTTTTGTTTCAGCTACATTTTTTGGTCTGCTATTGGGGATGTTTTTAGAATGTATGGCACACCCTCCAAATCCATCCATATTTTGTATTCATTATCCTGCAGTATAAATTGTATCTGCATGCTGATGGAGTTTAGGTGGCTGTTATATTTCAATGTTGTTTATTATTCTGTAATTGTTGGTGACACTAAAATAGGTGGCACACATTTCTGATGTACTTATAGATCTGTACCATCCATGCAAAATCATTTTTTATTCTCTTCTGTTTTTTTCAGTTCAAAAAATTATCTAATCCTTTTACTGTAGTTTGTGATGAAAATAGTAGCTGTTCTCATCTTGAAATTCAGTTTAGGTCTTCTCTTGTATTCCATTGGTAGAATACATATCACTAAGTTTAGGCCATTGCCTCACTGTATTTACTGTTGTTCAAGCATGTTGTCAGTTTGATTAACAGAGACTGAAAGTCAAATTGCATGTGTTCCACACTTGTTTAAGCCTCAAGCAGTCCTGACTCCCGAGGCCTCTCTGAAAGGTCATATTTGTGTTGGTGTTTTGCTCTTGTAAGGCTAAACTCTTCTGTTAACAACTACAGAAATTTTGTCCGGCTGCAGCATAGTTCCTTTACATCAAACTGGTACCCAGGATATTTGAAGTTCCCTTCTTTGTTTCTGACTTGGCTTGTTTGTGCAGATTCATCCGCTGATAGTGACTCCTCTGATAGCGACTAAGATGTGTGATCGGTCACATTGTTCATCTGGAGACTTCTGTTTCTCTAAAGATTCTGCAATGGTGGCCATGTGTTGGCTGTTAGCCTGTAAGTGTGAAGTTCTTCTGTTTCTGCTTCCCATCTTTGGTCTCTGCCGGAATTTTGTCTTTATGGTTTGTTCGGTGCAAATGCAAGACGTTCCACTTTGTCAGGAATCGACCGGGAATCTAAATTATGGTTACAACTTTGCTATGTTTCTATAATCCGCCGGGAATCTGTATGATGGTTACATACATATTTTGTAGATCGTCAATATATACAGGAACAGTACATGCATCTCTTCTGTCCCTGTGCGTCATATATATACATCGGAATTGTACATGCATCAGAAATCCTGGGTGTCCATGTGCGCTAATAATCCTGGGTGAGGTAGCGACCTAAGTTTCCTCTTGATATGTTGAAGATTGTGGGAACAGCAGTGTCATTTCGACCTGAAGAAATAGTCGCGTTGCTGCTTGAGTGTCACCTCAGAAAGAGTCGAATTTAAATTACATGTTCATTCCGTTTCAATGTTTCATCCTGGTCTTGAAGCCAGGTTTGTGGCTCTGTGCCTCTTGCTTCTTCTGTCTAGTCTGAAACTTGCCGTATTTTGTTCTGAGTCTTGTCATCGTGTGCTGAGTATGATGGTTTGCAAGTCTCTGCATATACAGCTTTCAGATTTGATATCTAGAGATATATAAGGGCCAGGATTGTTATGATCCTGGCTGCTAATGTTTGACAAGATGTGCACTTGATCTTGATGTTTGTCTAAAGGCTTCTTCTGTTCCTCTAAAGAGTCTTGTATTGCTGGCCACGTGACTCTGCTGGAAATCTGTGTTTGATGCAACTTAGCAAGATGATGCCTGTCAGAACATTGCTATGTTTTTTAATGGCAGTTGGGAAGCACATTGATATGTTTG